ATTGAAGTGATGAAAAATATTATTTTATAGAAGAATGTGTAGTTGAAAATGAGTAGAAGAATGAGAATGCAAATTTAAATGTGGCTCAAACAGTGGCTAGATTTGTGAAAAACAATTTTTTTTAAGAGAATATGAGATTAAAAAACAGGAAAAAGATTGGAGTTCACTTGCAAAATTATTTTGTTATGAGAATATATAAAAAATAGGTTTGGGAAAATGAGATTTAAGAAAATGAGGGGCAAACTCGAGCTCAATATGAATTTGATCTTTGAATGAGTGGTGGTAGAATCTACCCTAGCAATCAAGTTGTTACTTCGATTATTACTAGAGTCCGATAATGTAATAATAGGCTTGAGAGTTAAAATTGTAACTATAGGAAGCGAATGTGACGACTAATGTATTAGCTAGACAAGCCATTAATTAGGTTTAAGATAGTTGTATCGCCCCCTCATTGTACAGTAAACATTATGTCAAGTGATGCTAATTGCTAATGACAAATATAGTGTCTTATATTTAAAAAATAGTAGAAAAAGACTCAAAATCTTTGATATTTAAGGGTGTGTTTGAATCTAATTTTGAGGAGAATAGAAATTTTAGAATAGTGATTGATGTGAGAATGTGTGGTGAAAAAGTGATGAAAAGTTTTTGATTTGTATGTATTATTATTTTATTTGAAGAATGTGTGGTTGAANTAATTTTTAGAATAGTGATAGATGGGAGATGGGTGGCTGAAAAGTTTTTGATTTGTATGTATTATTATTTTATTTGAAGAATGTGTGGTTGAAATGAAGAATGAGAATGAGAATGGAAATGAGAATGAGAAATTAATGGGTGCCAAACGGGGGCTTAACTTACTAAGTTTTAGAAAATATTTTTTATTAGAAAAAAATTTAAAATAAATTATTTATCACGAGAGTCCATGTTTGGCTAATCTTTATAAATATTCAGGTATTATTTATTCATAAATTCTGATAAATTCACAAGTACCACCTACTTATTCATTTTTAATTTCTATTTATTTATAATTTAAATAGTTTATAAATACTTTTCAAAATGGTAAAAGATAATGCCTCTGTTTGGGAGTGCTTCTTTTTTACAAATAATTGATTTTTTTACCGTTGAATTGGCCCCACTTCTGTCACACCTTATACACGCACAACAATTAACAAGTCAAATGTGATTGCACTTTGTCAACTGTCATTTTTGCCCTTCATTGATAGGCAAGTATAAAATCATTGAGGTGCAATCATGTCATTTGGCTAGAATTGCGAAGGATAAAATAGTCACATAGATAAAATGCACCCATATCCTACTACACCTAGTCAAATGGTCAATGCATTTTATCAATTATTTTATTACGAAAATTTTGACCAATTTATAAAAAAAAAAAAGAGGAAATTACACTAAATGTCAATTTTTGGTTTTACATTTTCAAAAATGTCACTTTTTAAAATTGTTTGCAAAATTGTCATTTTTAGACATTTTTGCCCCTCTAGAGAATTTAAATACCCTACACATCCTTGAATTGAAAACATAAAAATGTACAAAAAGTGGAAAAAAAATTCAACAATCAATCACTTCACAATGGTATTTAAAAATCTACATTCCATTAACCAAAACCAAATATCATTATTACAAAAT